AAAAAAAAAAAAAAAAAAAAAAAAACCCCAAACCAGAAACTATCTTCTATCATTATCTGACAATGTGAACACTGTGGCATTTCCATGGAAATAATCCCAAGCAATTTGAAGGGCATGTTCTTAAAAGTTCCTGTAAGTTAAATGAGCATTTTACCTGACCTTGGGTGTGGCTAAATGATAACTTCACCTTCCTCTGCCATTTAATTCTGAGCTCCATAATGAATCCCACTGGCTTTTAACATCTAAACAACGCTATCCTCTCATTATTCCAGTGACTGCTATTAAACCTCAATATATATATTAGAGCAGAAAAGGAAGTTCTTGGTTTCCTGAGATTCTTAGATACATAAGTTCCTCTCACCAAAAGAAAAAAAAAAATCACAATGGTTTATCACCTGCACCCAGTGGGAAGTGTGCCTGCCCACATCCAGGGACCGTCAGGAAGCCTGCTATGATTTCAGCCTGACAAGAGCCTCCCCAGGTTCAACAGGCAGGCACTGCTGGGGCTACTCACTTGCTCACGAGTCCAGTGGATGCTGGAGCCTGGTCTGGATCCAGAAAGTCCTAAGTGAGCAGTGCTGGTGACAGTGGATACAAATCAGATCTGCAGGAAAACAAGGACGCAAGGACACAGCCAATCAGTAAGTTGCAAAGAATTTCTCACGGGCTTTCACTGCTAACTTGGGTTTGACTGGAACAGAGCTAGGAAGTAGAAAGTGTGCTAACATTTCCAGGTGTGCACTTAAAGGCTGGCTGCACCAACAAGAAATACCAGCCTGAATCTCAGCTGTTTGTTAATGACACATAACCCACAGTGTGACAGTTTGGCAATAATAAAGACAAATCTCGTGAGAGGAGGAGACCCAGAAACCACAACCTATCCGTGAAACGTCTGGCACTGCCGAGTGCCCACTGGGCCGCAAGGACACAACACGGACTTGTCTCTTCCGCGTACCGTTGGTCAGCCCTGTGGTGTGAGGACGGACAGGCCAGGTGCAGTGAGGTAAGCCAAGCAGCCCCATGCCTGAACACAAGGTGGAGGACAGTGTGCACCAGGAAGCCAGGGATGGGCGTAGCCAGGGGCGATGATGTGGGACATGGCAGTGAGGACGGCTTCATGAACAGCAGGACCACAGATGTGACCGCAGCCAGGGACGCTAGCTATAGGCGGTCCTGGTGTTCAGGATGGAAACTGACAGTTTTCCTTCATTTTGTTCTCTTTTCCATGTTGTCCCTCCTATTTTATTCATTTGTGTAATAATGTAAGTATCATGAACATCATAAAAAATGTGTTCTACCACCTGTTCCCCTGCCTTTCCCGGGTAACTGTCACACCTGGTTTGGTTTTGTTTTGTTTTACAGCTCTGTTGAGGTGTACTTGACATATAAACTGCTATACAACTTGATCAAGTACATAACCTGATGAGTTCTGACAT